GACGTGAGGGAGCGCGGGGAGGCGCCCGACTCCATCTTGAAGACGTGAGGGAGCGCGGGGGTGCCCAACTCCATCTTGTGGGAGACGTGAGGGAGGGTGGGGAGGTGCCCAGTTCCATCTTGAAGACGTGAGGGAGCGCCGGGAGGCACCCAGTTCCATGTTGTGGGAGACGTGAGGGAGCGCCGGGAGGTGCCCAACTCCATCTTGTGGGAGACGTGAGGGAGCGCCGGGAGCGGTGCCCACCTCCGTCTTGTGGGAGACGTGAGGGAGTGCGTGGAGGCGCCCAACTCCGTCTTGTTGGAGGTGTGAGGGAGCCCCGGGAGGTGTCCACCTCCATCGTGTGGGAGATGTGAGGGAGCGCGGGGAGGTGTCCAACTCCATCTTGCTTTCTGGGGAGGAGACACAGGCAGGGCCCCGCGTTAAGCAGGTGGGGATGGCCTCAGCCCGGCTATGAGAGGCCTCAGGAGGAGTCAGGGTGGCGGAGGGCCAGGTCAGCATCTGGAGGAGCCCCAGGTAGGCCAAGTCCCGTGTTCTGCCTGAGAGTCCTCTTCCCAGTGCATTTCCAGGAGTCCTGGTGGGGGAGAGGGAAGGGAGACCGTTTCTTCACCTTACTTGCGCCCCCCGTTTCCATGGGTCCTCTGCCCCGTTCTTTGAATCTCAACTGTGTTCTCTTCCAGCGGATGAGATGACAGTGGGGAAGGTTTACGCAGCTCTGATGATATTCGACTTCTACAAGCAGAACAAAACCACCAGAGACCAGATGCACCAGGCTCCCGGAGGCCTCTCCCAGGTACCTGGCAGCCCTCAGTTTTCCAGGAAGTAACTGTGATGCCTCCGAGGTTCTGGCATCCTTCGGGGGTTTGACCACCTGGGAGACGCACACCATTCTTGGAAAAAGCGCCTCAGGAGAAGGAAGATGAGATTCTTGAAGCTACCTCTCTAGCCCCCGAAGTCAGAAACTACACAGAGCCTTTAAGCTTTCCGTGAGCTGACAGTACTGGGCAGCTCCTGACGTAGAAAGCCAGCGCTCAGGGCCAGAAGATGAGGGCTGGGCTGGGTAGTGTTACCGTCGTTACGGGGTGGAAGAGAAGAAGGTGTGAAGACCATTTGAGGAGGATTGTTTAGAGGTGGAAGGAGAATTGTTTTCCCTTCACAGAGAGAGCAAAGAAATTCAGATTAGATAGGTTCAGGATCAGGTTCAGGATCACTGTCTGTTCTGCTCTTGTCTTTGACTGAGATGGTTTGGGAACCCATCTTCCCGATGTCATCCTTCCCACACAGCCGTGTCTTCGGTGACCATATGTAGTCTGTCTGCTGGAAAATTGTCTAGGTGTCCAGGGCTTCTGGGCACATTGACCCAACCCTCGGATGGAGAATATGTGGTGCTCAGGCCACACCTTCTATTCTCGTACCTGGGGTAGACGTCACTAATCCATCCAGCAGTCTTCCCAAGCCCTGAAATCTCAGAATTCTGCTCAGCCCTACCCTGACCCTGACCCTAACCCTAACACCCACCAGCCAATTTCAAGGTGATGATTAGATGGAATATTGTTGCCACCTGTAATCTGGTCTAATCTCCTAGTTGTGTAGACAGGGAAACTGAGGTTTTGAGAGGTGACATGGCTTTCCTGAAGTCACTGACAGGTGAGGTTTTGAGGAGATGATGTAAGGGTCCCTTGGCTTACTTCACTGTTTTGGTCACATGCTCATATTTAGGGACATATTAGGGAAAGCAAACGGCCCCTTGCTAAGGGGAAAGAGCCCTTAGGCTGGGCTTGAACATGACCTGGCTTTTGCCCTGTGCCATGTGGTTGGAGCAGGTCGCAGAGGCCACATTGCAGGCCTATTGGAGCTCTTTCCCTTCCCTTTGCCTCCTTTGCAGATGGGTCCTGTGTCCCTGTTCCACCCCTTGAAGGCCACCCTGGAGCAGACGCAGCCAGCTGTGCTCCGAGGAGCCCGGGTTTTCCTTCGACAGAAGAGTTCCACCTCCCTCAGCAATGGCGGGGCCATGTGAGTATCCAGATGCGGGACACAGCTGAACAGGAGGAGGCCCAAATCCAGTAAAGGGGGAAGCAGACGTCCCATTTCCTCGACCTCCCTGGCCCGCACGTCCACTGGCCTCTGGGTTAACCAGCTTAGAGGCATCCGAGGGACATGTCTGCCACCCGACCCTGCACTTGGGCCCTTAGCAACCCTCCAAGGACAGAGATCCCCCAGGTCACATCTCAGTTCTCAGGGGCTGGCTCTGCTACAGGTGCTCGTTGTACTTGCTGCCTGAGAGCAGTCAAGGGCTGTTCCTTTGCTGGGTTCTGTAGCAGAGACTTTAAAACTGTTTCCTGTGACATTAGGTGCCTCGTCGAACCCACCTTCCTAACAGCACTTAGACCCCCACGTCCCATTCCCAACACACGTACCTGCTTCCCTTTCAGAGAAGAGGCCCCTGCCCCTGCTCCTCATCGGCCCTCTGTGCCAGCAGATGCTGAGATTCCACCTCCATCTCCTACCCCTTTCTGTCAGTGGCCTCCTACTGCTCTGATCTTTCTAACCCTGAAAGGCACTTTTCATCTTAGATCTCCGCTTTGGTACTGATTTCTGAAGCTGTTATATTTTGTAAACAAATTGGTAAGGTTGTTTTGTATTACTTAACTCTTGCCACAATATTTCTTGGTGACAAATCACTCAGAAGCAGGTGACTTAAAAGAACCATCACTTTTTCCCACTGTGGCCCAGAGAAGTGTGCTCCCAAATCTCAGGACCCAGATCCTGGGGGCTGACTCCCGAGCCCCTGGCAGTCCCCCGTTCCCACACTCTGCTTTCGGCATGCTGGTGGAAACCTTCCTTGCATTTAAAGTCCTGATTCTGACTGTATGTATCGGTGGGAGGAGATAGTGAGGTGTCTGGGGTTTATCTAAGCCAGGCTTTCAGCAGGAAATTTGAGCTTCTGTTATTTCTGTGGTGATAGTTTCTACCTAAATCAATTACAACTGCAAGTTAGAGAGCATCCACTCAGACTGGATCTGGCGAGGGTATTTATTGAGCTATTTAGTGAGCGGGTTGAGCACACCCCTGGCCTTGGACTTAGTGTTTTTTCAGGATTAGCAGTGCATTAGGAGCCAGCTCCGGTTCTCCTGACCACCCCTCCTCTCAGCACCAGCCTGCCACTGCGGCTGCTCTGTGCCCAGTGCCAGCAGGGGCTGCAGTGCCTGGTCCGTGCAGCAGTGTGTGTGGTCCATTTAGAACATCAGGCTCCAGTCTGAGTTCAGAGTTATCAGTGCCACTCAACCTGCATGACTAAGAATGTAGTCAGTGCTTCACTGAACGTGAGAATGAGCACTCACCCAAACACATTCCATGCCAGTTGGGAGACACGTGATGAGAAATACCAGTGCGGGAGCATCTCCGGGTGGGGCTATTGGGGCAGGTGTATGGACAGCATGTGTGGGGTGGCCTCTGCAAGAAGGCTGCACCCCAGCAGAGAGCCGAGGGATGGAAAGCCTTGTCGTGGCTTTTGGTGGGGGGTCAGAGAGGTAAGGAGGAGCCACCAGCAAGGGACTCCTGAGGGGGGAAGCCCCTGGAGGACGAAGACCAAAGAGTCCTGGGCGAGGCCCCCTACCCCCCACCCCAGCCCGTCCCCTCCATGACAGCTTTGCCCTCACCTGTCCCAGCCTGTCCTCTCCATGACAGTTTCTCTCGCTGTCTGCTGGCATAGGCAGGACTTCTTCAGCTACTGTCCTAACGCAGGCTGTACACATGTGGCCCCACTCCTTCCCAGGTTAGTCCTGTGCGGCAAGGACCACCCCTGCTCACACTTCACAGATCAGCTCCTTGTCCAGAGGAGGGGGTGACGGGCCCAGGCCCCCCTCAGATTTGAGCACTGTGGGGCTGTAAGCTGGTGCTCTGCATCCTCTCCGCCACTCTGAATTGCTTCCTGCTCTGACTTTGTTTTACATCCATGTCCTTTGATGAGGCTTTGCTTGGGTCCAGCGTGCACAGGCCATGTTGGTACTCTTGTGTTCAAGGGAGGGCTCAGTTCAGCCCAGAACAGGGTGGCCAAGCCCCCTGACCTCTGCTGCGTGTGGTGGAGACATCTGGCAGGTTGAAGCACCAGGCTGTTGGTGAGGCATCTGCAGCCTCTGACCCTACAGGAATCTCTTTGTCTTCTCTGCCATAGACAAAACCAAGAGAGTGGCATCAAGGAGTCTGTCTCCTGGGGCACTCAAAGGACCCAGGATGGGCCCCACGAGGCCAGGCCGCCCCTGGAGCGTGGCCACTCCACAGAGATCCCTGTGGGGCAGTCAGGAGCACTGGTGAGCACTCCGGGGGGCTAGTGAGACTGGGTTGGGGGATGTGTGAACAGGGATGGGGGATGTTTGAGACTGGGATGGGGGACGTGTAAAAATGGATGGGGGATTTTGAGACTGGGGTGGGGGACGTGTGAGACCAGGGTGGAGGATGTGTGAGACTGGGGTGGGGGATATATGAACAGGGAATGGGGGGTGTGTGAGACTAGGATGGGGGATGTTTGAACAGCATTGGGGGTTAGGTGAGACTAAGATGGATTTGGGTGAGACAGCAGTGCCTCATGGGGTGAGGCTGGATGCGGTCAGATGAGTCCGTGGTGCCTTGTGTGGTGGGACTAGGCGAGTGCTGTATTTACAGGCTGTGGACGTTCAGATGCAGAGCATGACCCGGAGGGGCCCTGACGGGGAGCCCCAGCCTGGGCTGGAGAGCCAGGGTCGAGCAGCCTCCATGCCCCGCCTTGCAGCTGAGACTCAGGTAGGTGGTCTGGGAGGGTCCAGGCCCTGGGCCAGGCAAATGAGGGGTGGGGAAGTGGGAGTGTGGCTCTGGGCTTCCTGCAGGTGAGGAGACCTGGGGTGGAAAGGGCTGGGGTCCGTGTATGGAGCTCTTTGCTGAGGCGGGAGCAGGGACCTCGGGCAGCCCTGACTGGGCGTCAACAGAGGTGCAGCCTGGACGCCTTCAGCACCCGAGGCTTCTCAAGAGGGTGGGTCAGGTCCATTAGATGCTGCTGGGACAGCTGTGCCTATTCTCAGCCTCCCATCAGGGGCCATGGGGCATAGGGGCCCCCACTCTGGCCCTGCCATGTTCTCCTCCTCCTCTCCGGGTTTCTATTCCCCAGACAACCCCCACCCTCATCTGGAAAATCTCACCAACACCTCAGTCCCCTCTCCCACATGTGGCTCTGCGGAGGAGCCTCCCTGCTCGTGGGCAGGCAGTCCCTGGACCACTTCCACTACCCAGCTCCTTGCTGGACTCGCCTCTTTCTGGGACATGCACGTTGGATTAAGGAAGAGGAAGCTCTGGCGGGGGGGTGGCTGCAGCCCCATGTGTTTCCTGGCGGAGGCTCCTTCCATGAGGACACTGGGAGGGTCGCCCCTCCGAGGCCAATCTGGGAACACTGTGCCCAGACCTCCGAGGCTTCGGAGTTGCTGCAGGGCTTCACCTGCAACCTGAGCCTGCTTCAGTTGGCCAAAAGTGACCAGAGCCCCGTGCCACCCCTGTCCCTCGGCCTACTTGAGCTGTGGAGTTGTGAATCTGAACCTTGTCTGTGGCTCCTTTCCCATCCCACTGCTGTGGCCAGCAAACCCTTTTCCTCTCCTCACTGCCTCTCCTCCCTCTTGCGGTTTGCTTCTCTTCCCACCTGTCCTTCCTCTCTTGTCTCTTTTCCCATCCGACGGTGCCCTCCTGGGTGCTACCTGGTGGGTGGGTGCAGGCTGAGCCTCCCTGCAGCCTATGCTGGGGCCTCCTTCTTCACACATGTGATGCATTGGCGGCTGTGGGTGAGTTTACCTGGGAGGGGTGGGCCCTCCCCTCCCAGGTCTCTTCCACAGGTCCTGATTCCAGCCGTGGAAGCAGCTTGGGGGCCAGTCCACCCCAGATACACCAGGCAGAGTGATCCCACTGCAGCCAGCTGAGGTGTCTCTGGGCCCCACTCAGGGTTCTTCCAACCAAGCCAGCCGCCTTTCTTTTCCTGGCAGGGCACACGGGATGGGGTGGGGACTCAGGCACTGTCTGCCCCCAGCCTACCCACCTGAGTTCCCATCTCAGGCCTGGGTCCTTCTGACTGTGAGACCAAGATGGGGGACGTGTGGGCCTGCTCCACGACCCCCTCCCATGCCTGCCTCCCCGCTGACCCTGGTGCCTCCCCTAGGCCCACTGTCAGTCCTTTGCCCACCCCGGTCCTTTGCTCACAGCCCGTCACAGATGCCAGCCCCATGAAGCGCTCCATCTCCACGCTGGCCCAAAGGCCCCGCGGGACTCATCTCTGCAGCACCACCCCGGACCGCCCACCCCCTAGCCAGGCACCACACCACCACCACCACCGCTGCCACCGCCGCAGGGACAGGAAGCAGAGGTCCCTGGAGAAGGGGCCCAGCCTGTCTGCCGATACGGATGGTGGTGCGTGTGGAGGGGCCCAGGGAGCCCCTCAGGGAGCTGTGGCCCGAGTCAGGGGGTCCAAGCAGCCCATGGGGTACCCTCTTCCTTTTTGGGCCTCATAACCCCATAACCAGCTGGAGCAGGGTGGGGCTGAGGCCCAGGCCCTAACCCTCACCCTAGTCCTCCCCTGGCACCGCCTGAATTCTGTCCTGTTGGCCCCGGGGGTCAGGGGTCCCTGCCTTGGGCCTGGCCATGCTAACTTCTTCTCTTCCCTGGCCAGCACCAAGCAGTGCTGCGGGGCCGGGGCTGCCCCCGGGAGAGGGGCCTACAGGCTGCCGGCGGGAACGAGAGCGCCGGCAGGAGCGGGGCCGGTCCCAGGAGCGGAGGCAGCCCTCATCCTCCTCCTCAGAGAAGCAGCGCTTCTACTCCTGTGACCGCTTTGGGGGCCGTGAGCCCCCCAAGCCCAAGCCCTCCCTTAGCAGCCACCCCACGTCGCCAACAGCTGGCCAGGAGCCAGGTCCCCACCCACAGGTAAGAGGAATAGGTGAGAAGGTCAGGGCCCAGCTGCCTCTCCCTTGGCCCAGCACCACTGTCCCACAGGCCCCTCCCTCTCCCCAGGGCCTCCCCACTGCCCTTTGTTGTTCCCAGCAACCCCAAGGGCTGGGCACCCCCTCTGTGCCCTGTCCTGGAGCCCGCGTCTGCACCCTTCCCCAGCTGTGTTCTCCTCAAGCTCCTGCCTGGGTCACCCTGGGATGGTGGTTCTGTGTCCTCATCCTCTTTCAGACCTGGGCCCCCAAATCCTCACCTCTCTCTCAGTCACTTCTTGACTCTCCTTCCCTGACCGTGGTTGTTGGGCTTTTGTTTTGTCCTTTTCCCTGGCCCTAGCCTGTCCCTTCCCATCACCTGCTCTCCCCCACCCCATTCCTGGGCCTGACTGTGACCATCGCCCTCCTGCACACACAGGTGCCTGTTGCCTCCCTGGCCACCGCGGCCCAGTTTGTCCGCCATTGCCTCCCTCTCTCCTCTCATCCCCCCAGGCACCTGTGTGTGATGTGCTCTGTCTGTTGGTTCGGCTTTTTTTTTTTTTATCTTTGATTTGTTCTGGTCCATTTTTGTGTAGGGCAGTGGTTCCGTGAACGGGAGCCCCTTGCTGTCAACATCTGGTGCTAGCACCCCCGGCCGTGGTGGGCGGAGGCAGCTCCCCCAGACACCCCTGACTCCCCGCCCCAGCATCACCTACAAGACCGCCAACTCCTCACCCATCCACTTCGCCGGGGCTCAGACCAGCCTCCCTGCCTTCTCCCCGGGCCGGCTCAGCCGTGGGCTTTCTGAACACAACGCCCTGCTGCAGAAAGACCCCCTCAGCCAGCCCCTGGCCCCTGGTTCTCGAATCGGCTCTGACCCTTACCTGGGGCAGCGTCTGGACAGCGAGGCCTCTGTCCACGCCCTGCCTGAGGACACGCTCACTTTCGAGGAGGCTGTGGCCACCAACTCAGGCCGCTCCTCCAGGACTTCCTACGTGTCCTCCCTGACCTCCCAGTCTCACCCTCTCCGCCGCGTGCCCAATGGTTACCACTGCACCCTGGGACTCAGCTCAGGCGGCCGAGCACGGCACAGCTACCACCACCCTGACCAAGACCACTGGTGCTAGCTGCACCGTGACTGCTCAGACGCCTGCATGCAGCAGGCGTGTGTTCCAGTGGATGAGTTTTATCATCCACACGGGGCAGCAGCCCCTGGGGGGAGGCCTCGCCCACCTTGGTGAGGCTCCTGCGGCCCCTCCCTCCCCCTCCTTCCCTCTTTTACTCTAGACGACGAATAAAGCCCTGTTAGAGGATGCGGCTCTCTGTCCCCTTCCTGTCCTGCCTTCCTGGGTCTCGTACCACACACCAGACCCTAAAGCGCAGGCTGCTGTGTGTAGCTGAGAAGGACCCAGGAGTCCAAATCCCGTGTCCTGGGACTCAGCATCCAGGGTGGCTTGGAGCCGTTGTGAGGAGCTCTGCGTCCTGTGGGGAGCACCCTTCACGCGGCCGTGCAGCACAGAGAAGCAGGGCCCACCTGAAAGCGCGCCGAGACCTCGGGACGGAGGGGATGGGAAGGGGAAACAGTCGTGGCTTGTGCAGCCCGCCAGTGTCAGTGAACGCTCACTCAGACACGCTCTGTCCCTCCCTGGACACCGTCAGCCCCACAGGGACTGAGTTGGAAAGTGTTCTTACTGTGGTTTTGATTTTTAATTGCAACACCTCTCAGTCTTGTCACTTCTATATACTTGATGTAGAAAAAATAGAAAACCAGAAAAATGGGGAAGGAAATGTTCACATAACTTTAAAAAATCAAACCTGTGGAAGAAAGATGTCAGCTTTTTGCCACGTGTCTTTGTGGCTTATGTGAGGGAGACTCCCTGTGCAGCCCTGTCCAGTCCAGGTGGATCCCACACGGCCCCTGACTCTGCTGCTCTTGACCAAGTGCCTGACCGCCAGGCCCTCACCCAGGCACCTGGGCACTGTGGTGTGAGGCGAGGCCTCGGGAACCATCGTGGCAGGATGTTGTGAAAAGTACTCAAAATGGCAGCCAGGTAGCAAGCCCTTGCCAGCGGAGAGTACTGGATGTCATGGTGGGCAATGAGGCAGCCATTTGTTGTCCTCCTCCCACGAGTGGAAGGGGTTTCCAGGGAAGCCACAGGGTGGCTGACCATGTGCTTGTGTGAGGCATTTTCAGTCTGTTCTGCATCTGATTCTCAGGGCACACTCTGTGGTGTGTGAAATAGGTTTCTGTCCACACACAGCAGAAGAGAGGGAAAGGCTGGCAGGAAGGAGGGAGACATTGGCTGGGGGCTTGGATGTAGGGCCGTCAGGGCAGGAGGGAGGAAACCCCAGCTGGAATGAAACTCAGAGCAAGTGACCAAGGGAGGACACCTGACGCCCAGCACTGTCCTGGCGCCAGACACGGAGCAGGCAGTCAAGTGAGGTCTGACCCCCATGGCCATGCTCAGGAGAGAAAGACCACGCTCAGGACACTGTCCAAGGTGCACAAGCTGCTGGGAGGCCCTTTGTTTTGTGAAGAAAGGGAGCATTTAGAGCAGTTAGTGGTGGTGTGTCCTCCGTGTTCTGAAATTCCAGATGATCTGTGTTGGATTCTTGGCTTCTACCCCATGATTCTCCTCAAAGAAGTTGTGTGTGATGCGTGTGTGTGTGTCTGTGTCACAGGAGGCACAGTGCCTGTGCAGGTGTGCTCAGTGTGTGGATGTCATTAACCCATAGGGCTATGCAACAAAAGACACATTTACTAGAAATAAAACACACAAGACCGCTGCCTGGTCTCGGGGTTCAGCATGATTGTGACCAAACCTTTTTATAGAATTTCCTTACCTGAAGGCACAACGCTCTGGAACTTTAACGATAACAGAGTATTTTATTCCAATAGAATAAACCAGGAATCTCGGACTATGCATGTGATCACTGTGCTCATGTTGCAAAGTAGAAGGATGTGTATTTTGACTGATGTTTTGTCTCTTGTTCCCCCGCCCCCAGCCCATGTTATCTTGGGTGTCAAATGTGTCCATTCCATGCAGAACCACAGCCATTTCCCCAGGCAGTGTTGGGTTGAGAATCCACTTTTCTAGACCCACACAGCCTAGCTGGCTTGTCTGGACTCTTCTAGGCATTGGAATTGATGAAAACTACAGGGAGCGGGGAAAGGAGACATTATGTCTTGTTTTCCTGACTTTGGGTTTTGTTTCTCACTGTGTCTTCTCCAGCTATCATATATGTCCCCTGAATCTCATAGTGAGTTGCCAAATTTGAAATGCATCACCCAGTTGTCTGCATCTGGAACCAGTCAAGCAGTGGCTGTAGTTTGAACAAGTTATGTGTGCATGTAACATATATACATATATACATATATACAAGTATGTGCATGATAATGTATATCTTCGTACTTTTTGATACAATGTATTCATTTAATTTTTAATTATATTTGATATAAATCAAAGGTTTGTTGCAAAACTTTATATTTAAGAAGTGTTAAAAAAAAAAAAAAGTCCCAACCATGCAACACAACTGGGACCTACTTAAAAAAAATTCTGTGATTGACTAGTTTGCTGCCTGAGTAATATTTATCAGCCAAACTTTGGATTCTGCTATTGTTTCTACAATGACATTTTGTATGAAGCAAAGTCCTTGAATTAAAATAAAAACTTAGCAAAAAATCAAAAAACCCCACCATGCTGCCATTGGTATATGCAAGGGTGTGGGCCTGGGGTGCCCTGCCAGAAGGGGTCAGAAGAAAGTGAGAACTGCAGTTTGTTGTTGTTGATTGTGACAGAGTCTTGCTCTTGTTGTCCAGGCTAGAGTGCAGTGAGGCAATCTCAGCTCACTACAACCTCTGCCTCCTGGGTTCAAGCAATTCTCCTGTCTCAGCCTCCCGAGTAGCTGGGACTACAGATGCACACCACCATGCCCAATACAAAATAATTTTTGTATTTTTAGTAATGACAGGGTTTCACCATGTTGGCCAGGCTGGTCTCGAACTCCTGACCTCAAGTGATCCGCCTGGCTTGGCCTCCCAAAGTGCTGGGATTACAGATGTGAGCCACCATGCCTGGCCTGCAGTTTGTTTTCAGTGCAAGTATGGGATCAGGTTTTGAGAGTGTGGTGAGGATCAAGGGAGGCACTTGGCAAGAGGAGGCAGATTCAGCTTCCCTGGGGATCAGGGTTAGGGTTGGTTAAGATTACAGTGGTGGGTTGGGGTTGGGGTTGGATAGATGGTAGAGGAGGTTCTGGGAGGCTAAGTCTGGGGCACAGAGCTCCTCTTAAGATGCCCCAATAATCATTCACTCTGCAGTTAAAATGTCAGGATATTGCTAGCTACATGCTGGTAAGGACAAAGGGAACATTCTTAAGAGAAACCTGGCACCATAAGTACAGATTAGGGCAGAGAAGGACATTGGAAAGAGATAGGCAGGCACAGTAGGTACCGACATGACCACTGTAGGACCTTCCTGGAGTGGCAGGAAGGAGCCCAGCCCCAGCAGTGGAGTCACACTGATCACTGCACATATGTGTCAACCAACAGTGAGGGGGTCCCACAAGCCTAGGTGGGGCAAGTCAGGGATCTAAGGAAGGAGCAGGAAAACCAGACAAAAGAGGTGGAGACTTGAGGAATGTGAAGAAGTTCAACAGAAAACTCCCTGCTCAGGACCCTGGGACTGTTTTCTTGCAGATCAGCCCCACTCCTCCCTTGAGGCGTACTTATGTTTTCTACAATATGCTCTTTATATTTCTTTTCAATGAAGTTATCTGCCATCTTTGAACTGCCTCTTGGTGAAAATCTTTATTTCAAGTTAGACAAGAACTGGGACATCAGATCTCCCCAGTATTAGCTCCGTTTCAGTTTGAATTTGCAGAATTGATAGCGCTGAACAACCTGCACTCCGAGTTTAAGTGATGTAGGAAGAGGCCAGCAGGGGGTGCTCGGCTGTCACACTGGCAGCAAGAGGGCCCTGCAGTGTCCCCAGCCGCCAGCAGGGGGCGTGCCGCCACTACACTGGGAGCAAGAGGGCCCTGCAGTGCCCTGGCCGCCAGCAGGGGGTGCACGGGCACCACACCATGAGCAAGAGGGCCCTGCAGTGCCCTGGTTTCCAGCAGGGGGCGCAAGGCCATGACACCATGAGCAAGAGATCCCTGCAGTGCCCCCCAGCTGCCAACAGGGGGCGCCGGTGTCTACACCGTGAGCAACTGGGCCCTGCAGTGCCCTCGGCTGCCAGCAGGGGGCGCCAGCCACACCCCTCCCCCTTCCCGCTCCGCATCATCAGCAAGAGGGTCCGCAGGCCACCAGCAGGGCGTCCACACCGGGCCGATGCGAGGGCGAAGCCCGCGTTCTCCTCAGCACAGACCCAGAGGGCACCGCCTCACTTTGGGACAACGCGTGGCCACGGTGAGTAAAATCCTTCCTGTTTACAGCCCTGACTACTGAGGGTCAGAGACCAGTAAGAGGGGTTGGTGTGGAAAACTGGAAACCAAAAGCCCCCTCTGAATCCTGTGCACTGAAGTTCTCCCCACCCAAGGCGAGGCGAGCACAGTGCGAGGTCCACACCGCGGCCTTGGAACACCAACGGAGCGTTCCTAATGCGGATATGACTCCCAAATACGAATATGTCACTCGCAGTGCTCATGTAACAAACACCTGGAACGCTAAGGCACTGCCTCAATACGGAAATGTTAATATAAAACCCGGTGCTCCCCACGCGGCCCCGCAGTCCCGGCTCATAATAATGGACACCGACATAATCAATACAAACGTAGCCCCCAGCTGCTCACAGCTGCTGCTGAGCTGGAGCTGCCGCAGGCTCAGCCTCCACGGTGGAGTTTGTTGTCATATCTGCTTCACGGACGTGGAATTGACACAGTTGTTTTCATTGCTTCCCAGTAATTCCATACTTTCAGGAAACTTGCAACGGCGGTAGTGTGGAGTTTTCTTTCTCTTTTCTCTCAGATTCCTCCGTGGTTGTTGCTGAGCCAGATCTGCAACTTCACAAAAAACACCCCAGTGTTTTTCACCCAAAACAGAGACCCCTCCCAGGTAAGCGCCAGGTGACCCCAGCACAGGAGGCCTCGTTCCTGCCTGAGGGTCAGGTCCGCAGGCCCGTGTTTCACTTTGCAGCCGCCCGGGCTGGGTGGAAAATCTCTCTTTCCATCTGGGTCCAGTTTTCCTTTTCTGGAGCCTTCGCAGAGGTGAAGAGCAGAGCTGCCCCCAGGCTGGGTCTGCACAGTGGTTCCCCCTGGGCAGGTACCGACGCTGCACTCCAGGTGGGAACTCGCAGCCTCTGGCCAT